TCGCTTAATGGGTGCAATGTGGAAAGTCGGCCGAAGGCCACTCGATTTGGATACGTTTTTTAAAGGTCGGCTGACAACGGCCTCTGTTTACTGGGAATAGAGTCAACGAGCCAACGCGAAAAAGAGCCCCGTCGTCACGTTGTTGAAATGTACCAAAGGCCAACATATTTGAGCGAGAAAAATCTTGCAAAAGGACATGCTGACTGAGTCCCTTGGTAAGCATATTTTGACAGAGTCATGAAATACTTGCAAACAAGTGACGGATTAAGTAAGACAGGCTAATTATAGCGGGATAACTGTGTTTATAGTAGGCTAGGGATAATAGTAGCGAATCAAATAAATTTAGTCAAGTGGAAAATAGGTGCCTATAGGTATGATCTAAATCGATCCCGTAGAGCGGTCGGATCACTAGAGATCCATCGTTGAAGAAGTTTTGAATGCTTTTTTCCAAGAAAAAGCTTATTTTTGGTATACAAAGTAATGTCACTTTAAGCGAATTGGTCATTTTGTCCGATCTGCTGAACAACTACTAACAATTTCTGAGAGACTGACGTTATTAAGTTATCTATTTTTCAAGCTCTACAAGGTTGGTGCAAAATTGATTTTAAAAATATTCTCCAGTGCTTTACTGTTTTTTATTTTTTGGTAAACTAGTTATTTTCCTCAAAAAGGTTCATTCTTCATAAAATATTAGCCATCTCAGAGCATGTTCTAACAAAGTTAATTATTTTGCTTTGAATTTTTTAAGCAGTTTCTTCCTACCGTAGGGAAGCATATGCTAATTGGGTTAATTTGCAAAATGTTTAGTGAAATGTGAACCGCCTCTGCATATATGGCCCATATTCCCCGACAGGCTAAGGAATTTCTTGTCAAAAAGAGCTTTTCGCTCCCATTGAGCGTGAGCGTTAGTTTGAGCAAACTGACTTTTTTTGGTGAGTTGCTCAACAGCCGTTAAGAATTCGTAAAAATTTTGCTGTGAAAAATTGCCTGTTTTATTCAAGGTCTACGAAATGGACACAGCATTGGACTTTGGGGACAAGTTCTTTTACATTTTTTCGATTGAGTAGTTAAGAGGATTCTTATCATAGGGCTGGAAAATGATGGGGGCATAAATTATGTTTAAAAAGTGTGCGAATTCCTTTTCCCGAATATGGTTTATTTTTCCAATTGGGATGTAATTCTAATGTAATAAGCTGCAAAACAATTGATGAAATGTAGGCGGCTCATATTTTCCGATTGGGTGACTACCTGTTTCTGGAGAAAATAGAATTGGTTGTAGTCAATAAACGGAGTATATGCAACAACTTTTCGATGGGAGATCGGTAACAACTATAGAGGAGTGCAGGGTAAGGTCTCAAATTGGCGCCGCATGCTCGGTCGTAGGTTGACCTTATATGTGCAAGTGAAGCAAAATTAATTTGGACTTATATTAGAAATTTCGCAATTGAACTCGATTTTCGTTTCAAGTAGCAGAAAATACGCAATGCGTTAACGGATTAATTGTAACAATGTAGCGAGCTAACTGGAACAATCATTCCAGCAAATCAACCGACGACTGGAACAAAGTTGCACAGTAACTGCACGAAAGTAACAAGGTCACTGTCAGAAGGTAAAAATTACCTTAAATCAATAAATATTATTTCTGTAATTGTATAGCTGCAAACGGATAATAGAACATAGTTTCTAGTTGGATATAACAAGAAACAAATATTAGAATATGCTGATGTAATAACTACAGCATGACAGGAGGATTATTAGAACATTAAAATGAAAAAGCGGGAAATATTGTTAATAAATAACCTAAATCAAAGAAATTAGGGCTTTTTGCAATGGTATCACTGCAATCACAGAACGAATTCGTACTGCAGGGTCTCGGGAGACTTGCAACCAGATAACTGTAAGGAAGCAAATCCATAACCGAAGTATATGTAAAATTAAACGTGAAGATGAAAATTAAATGATTCGCTCAGCCTCAGCTCAAAGTCAGAATGGACTGGTGTATAACAGCCAAAGCCAAATCGGCTAGGTTAATTTCAGCGGGACGACTGTTCTCCCGTAGCTTGACTATAGTTTACGTTAGACTAAATGTAGTATAAGTGTATCAGATTGGTTAAACAAATCAACGTCAAAAAATCCGTCTAACGTACTGCTAAAACTTGGTTTCTTCTTATGTGTAACTATTTTTCTAAGTTGCTAACAGGCGATGTAGGGCTGCAAGAGAAAGCGGGTTGTCAATTCGGTTTGCAAATGACGCTGCCGCCCTAGAAACTTTAGGTTCAACTACCATTTCATAAAAAACTAAAGTCACAAAAAAACATAAAATGCGTGTTCTTCACTAAGGGCAGCGGGGTGCTCGAGTAAAAGCACCACAGAATCAATACTATACACCGCTAAACGCGGGCAAGATTCGCGAGTAAAATGAAGGGCCCAATAGACTTGCGTCATGTGGTATTTACATGATCTTTTTTCGTGAGACCGATTTAGTGTTTTCCACAAGAAACGTGTTTGGAGGACATATAGGGTCACGCAAATACCACTGTGGCATCGCTCATTCTCGCACGGCCAGTCACAAGTAACAATCATGTACTACCTTCGAAGGCAAAAATCTGAAGATTGCGAAGCTACAGGTCGTTAACGAATACCACACTTTTAGACATTATGAAAGGACTTTTTTAGAGTGGAACATAACGGAGTACTTTAGATCGAGACTCAATCTAGGACTGCAGAACTTAATTATATGGTTCGTAGCATCTCTTTGCTGTTTGCTAATTTTTACTAACCAAAAGTGGGGGCAAACCTTGCCTGACGAGTTCACTTACGGTCAACAGCTTAGCAAACATGGGCTTAGTATTCAGTGTGTTATTACCTTTCTCCTCAGCGGAATTTCCGCTCTTACTCACTCAGGAAAGCTACAATCGGATATCAATGAGCGAGTCATACATGCTAGTGCGGTAGTAATTCGTTTGTTTACTCAACTTAAAATATGTGGTGATCTATGCCTGAGACAGCGTTTAAACACAGTGTTTCATGCCAGGTGTAAGCCCTTTAAGGCAATTCTCAGTGCGAATACCGGATGGAAAAACTTGGCGTATTTACTTAGACATCGATGAACGTGGGGCGAAGCTCGTGAGTAAAGTATAGTATATAGGTACTAAGCAGATATTCCACTTATAATAGTCTACACTATTGAGCTTAAGCTTGTTTGCTTATGGTAAATCAGCTTTTCTTTAGTTTGAAAACAATATTATTTTTAATAAAATGCCTACAGATTTTTTCCATTTATACCGTTTAAATTCTTTCTTGCTGTACGCTTTTTCCGTCTTACTCACTGCGCCTATTTAAATTATTGAAGTTCTACCTTGTACCTATCTTTATGTTTGTAAACCTATTCAGCTTGTAACCGATTGGCCAGATTATGCAAGCTTGTGTACGCACTTAAACAAGTGCAGCAAATCCTTTTCTGTTTGGAATACAAAATATTCAAGGGTGGAAATTTAGTTTTTTGAAATGCGTCTTAAACGAAACCCGAGAAGAAACCGATAATGGCCAATTGCGTGTCGGTACCCCTAAACTTAAGACATTAGAGTAGAAATGGAAAGCAAAAGAGTCGAAAGTGAGTGCTTCATGAACACGCTAATGGTCAAAATTTCGTTTTTTTTCATCACTTCCTTGCGTTTACTGTGTAATATTGACCTACTTTTCGCAATTAATTGTTACCTATGATGGCTAACAGATCTTTAAGGTTATTCGTGCACGGTCACATAGTCGCTAAAAGTATCCCTTTACCCTAAACAGGCTAAATAAAATTATACTGTATATTTTTCTTTGCGTAAGCAAAACAGTCAACCCTGATAGTTTTACTAGGTGTAGTGGCACGATTACAGCACCAGCCATCCGCTGTACTAAAATATAATAAATGATGCTCCAATTTCCTATTAAGCAATAATAGCAAATAGAGATAAACCAATCTCTCTCTAAATATCGCTTAGCCATGCGCCGTGATAAATTACATTCCCAAATAAAGAAGTTTCGGTTGGAATTTCCGTTATTCTGCGTTTGACCGTAAAGGACTAAAGCTATCCGAAAAGTAGAAAAAACTTTTTGAATGGAAAGATATTAAAAAAACTAAATGTATATTATTAAAAAATATTTTTATGTTTATACCGTAGCAGATTAAAATATTTAAGATGGGCATATTGTATTTGTTGATACCATGCGCGCATTTTAATTAACAATTCAAAAGAACTTCTTCATGCAGTAAAACAGATAAAGTTACATTTTTAATATTGATACTTGACTTAGTCTACTAGAATAATAAAAACGGAGGTCTCTTTTAACTGCTGTTAAGATCTGAAGTTCTTATAAAAATTGAATAAAGAACGATTTATTTGTCTAGAGACCGACCAAGGGTCCTAACGGCGATTATTATTAGCAAGTGATATATAAGGTACGGAATATGACTAGTATGTTCTAATATGCTAATAATAATAATAATAAATGATATAAAGTAATAAAAATAGTATTATAATTCTATATAGATATGCAAATATGAAATATATAACCAGTACAGCTAATGTGCATTACTGTTATATACGGCTTGATAGTTAAGCCTATACAGCATTGTCAATAGAGAAACGTATAACTAGAAGTTACGTGCGTTCATTCATTATTCATATAACTAAACTTTCAAATACATGCAACGTTAGTCAAGAAAAAAACCAAATTTTTCTCCTAAAAACGATGCACAGCGTCTAAAAGATGGCAGGTGACTGCTTCTTGTGTACCTATTCAATGTTAAAATACTCGTCCTTGTCGGATACACGGTACATTACAAATATGCTTGATATATGCTATGACTAATACGCGGGTTTCAAGAGCGTACGTCGGCAACGACAAGCCGTCATCTCTAAATTAGTAGATGATGTGTCATAAGTATAAATTATAGTCACAACGCTATACCAAAAGTTTTTAAGGTAATTCCCTGTTTTTATTTTTTTTAGGACATGGCTGTAGCGAAAGACTGCGGACTCAAAATGCAGGAACTCATGTTTCGTATTGCTGATGGCCACCTGTTCTATCGTGAATTGGAGGCGTGCGAACAGGTCAATGTAGAAGATGTGAGCAGTGAAGAACAACTTGCAGTTCAGCAACAACAGGGAGGTCCCAATAATCCAGCTATGTCAACTCTTCCTCTTCCAGGACCTATTTGTATGAACGGTATGTAAAAACAACAAAAAAACCAAGACAAGAACAAGAAACTTTCACCAACAGCAGCGTTTGGGAAATAAATTAGGGTCTTCTAAACGATAATGGCAATTGGTGTTCGCTACATAACAAGAATCGAACCCATACGACTCACCACATTCGAGAAAGCAATTTTATTCAAGTAGCAACTTCAACAGTATCAGAAGCGCTGCTTTCGTAAAAGTGTGTACCATGTATTCTATGGTTGTGACAGCACTAGACAACTGATAATGCACGTGACCCTGACATATTGAAAAAAGTAACAGATTCAGGGCGTTCTGTAATTACAATAAAGAAAAATCAAAAAGCAATTTATACATAATGACTACACCAGCGTAAACGCATAGTTGCAATGGGGTAACAAAATATAACAGTGCTCTGGTGAACGGCAAAAATTAGTCTGAAATCAGGTAATCATTTATGTTAAACGTCATACCGATTCAGTTATTTAGAACATGCTAATAAGATATCAGTAGCGTGGTGGCAGAGCCTTTGGAGTTCTCCGATGGAAGGACGAGATCCGTGAAGCAAAGTAAATGCAACGGAATAATGTTGCTAATGTGACAATGCAATAACTGAATTACTGCTGTGGGCTTTCAGAGCAATTGCAACCGAATATTATAAGCCTACAATCCAAATATTGCTTGTTTAGCTAATTAAATTCGCTCATATTAAAACGAACTAACGGGATAGTGGTATTACGTGCGGCAGCATAACTGAAACCGGTAATATACATATCCATACTTTGTACTATATTTATATAAAAAAAAAGTTGCGACTAACTTGCTGCGGTTTATTCAGTATTGGACGTGCTGATTTTAAATATCTACTTAGGAATGTCAGAGTAGTCAACTGTCGTTCTCGAGACGCAACGACCCCGTGGCAGCGTGATGTCACTTTGCTCTTAATATTTTAGGGCCTATGGCAGCAAAGTTGCCACTTTTTTGGCAAATGCGATGTTGTCTGTTTTGAACCTCGCAGTCTTCAAACTTTTTCTTCTTCTCAAACCGTTTTTACTATCAACTGCCAATTGGTAGTCAATGGCGGGCACGCCGATGCAGTTTTGCAAGATCTTGCCTTCCTGCGTCTCAGCGACCGGAATACTTCTGTTACTACGGCTCGGCATGTGAAATGCAGTTCAAACGGCATTTTATCCACGTCCTCGCTTGTGAACATGTTGAGCAAAAAAGCCACTTTTAGGGCGGTGGCTCTTTTAATTGCACCGTTGGCTACCAGAACGTCTAGCTTTCGTATGACCGTTCGGACTCAACGAGACCGTTGCGTGGCATATGCCGGACAGTTGACCGAACGTGCCCGTTGTGGTTTCGTCTAATGTCTCCCCCCCCCCCCCCCCCCGCGATGTGAAAAGGACTGCAGCATCAGTAGCAGATATCGCCTGCCGAACCGGCAGAAACTGGACGAAACATATACGTAGCCGACCATTTCCAAAACATAAAGCCCAGCTGCCCGTAGCTTAAAGGGCCAATTAAAGCCTGGCTCACCTTCCTAAACAGATCTCTTCTTGCATCCGCCTTCCAACACTGGACCCGCGAGGCCAGTTTGCAGGGAAGCTTACAGTTTTGTGCAAACTTATCACAGGCGACCCCGGTTATGCAACTGATGTTCAGGTAATATGGAACTGTTGGGCATTATCTCGTCCTAAAATCTCCTCGCTTCCTGCACCTAAACCATGTGTGGACGCCTTCCAAACCGTGCCTGCCTTCAGTGGGGAGTTTGAGCCCGCGCTTATTAGATAGTTTGGGGCTTTCGTACGTGCACGCAAACCGTATGACTCACTGAAGTCAGCAGACGCGGCCGTAATATGATTAACGGAATTGTTGCTTTAAAGTCAAAGGTGTATGGTAGCCTCAGCCGGTCCATTATGAGATGTTTTTCCTAGACGAAGATAAATAAATCACCTCGCCGTCTTATCCGAGCATAGAGCTCCTTATATTTGCTAGGCGTTGCAGAGCCTAACCGCGACAAAGTAAGCGGAAGGACAGGCAGAAGAATACCTGTACCGGTATTTTTTTCAAAGACAGGCGACTAGAGTCTTAAACGCGGCGGTTGCGTTTTCCCCGACTGCATCCGTGCCTACCGCACACTGATTATTGCTCCCCTCAAAGTCGAACACTGTTATCCATTGTATGTTTGTTTTCAAGGCCAGTCTTGCTTAGTCATTACGTAGTGTTACAAGTGACAAGGCTGCCACTGACCTATTGCGATTTATTAGGATAAACTTAGAACACCACATGTTCCAAAGTTTTGTAATCAAATACATTACTAATGTATTATTGCGGAGACACACAAGTGCATTGATAGAGTAAAAACACGGCATCAGAGTTAGCTCGTTAGGCAAACCCTAGTTATAAAAAAATGAATGCTCGCTTCGCGCATCTTTGTAATGAATGTATAAAATTGTGTGTTCGGGTCGGTGCTCACCACGGGCTTCGAAGTTAGAATAAAGTTTATCTTAATCGTAAATCGACACTATGCACGGCAGTTAAACGCGACATGGAAATTGCATTATGAATTCATACTAAAAATTTCATAATTCTGAGAGCGTCAAAACCCAGGTAACGTTAACAATATAGATATGAATTAACCTTTTAAATTTGGGCGACTGATGGAGTTTACCGGTTCTTAAACGTGAGTCTGTGTTAATTGTGCAATTAAGATTAGGAAATGTACCTTGCATACCGCGGATCAGAGTGCGACGGCACACAATATAAGTGAACTAGCGAGCTGACGTATGCGTGTTGTTACCATTCAAAACCTACATTTTATATACAAATAAGCTGTCATTCTTGATGGTTTTTCTTTTTATGTCATTACTCTTGCCTCAAATACCTTATTTATGGGAAATATTTTTTTAAACGCGAAGTAGTCATAAAACTTAACCGCCACAAAGCATGTGATGGACATTTTAATTCATAATAGAGGTACGACATACTCTTTAGGAAAGATAGAGGCAATTATTAAAAAGCGACAATGTTACTCGACCGTGACAATATTTGATATATCTGAATTCTTTTATAAACAGGAGTTCAAAGCCGTCCACATATATGTACAGCAAATATCAATAAAACTAGATAAAAGAGAGCATTCATTTTAAGGAGGGCGACCGGCTGGGATCGACTGGATGCGAAAGCTCGCCTCTCGGTATCAACACATCAGAGATGTGTATAAGGATTACGCCGGAAATGTTGGCGCATTAGTAGCAGCGTCAAGTGTCGACCATTCTGTCTCAGGGGGAGTGAGCCTCGGAGTTCAGGGAGCAGGCGTAGAAGAATGGCTCAAACTACGCCAGAAGATAGAAGAAATCACCGACAAATGGCTAACACACGCTCAAATGTGCATACAGCTCATCAATCAAAGGCAGGACTCTCTTTCTCTTTGCTAACTTTCGTTGACTAACGAGTTACTTTTTTGCCTTATACTAAGTGGCACAAAAAAACGTTAAAAGGAAGATAACCCTGTAAATGTACCGCTACTGATATATTTCCATCTAATCCTAGCTAGAACTATTGAAATTACGGTGAGTTTATTTAAAAAAAACATTACTGTGCGTTACATTAAAAGATTGCTTAAAAAATGCAGTCTTCGATAAAAGAATCTCTACTAATCCATAAAATACAGTAGAACCCTACGCTATACGCGTGATGAAATAAAAAGATACAAGCGAAATCGAATACATTTAGATTAAAGTTGTATGAATGAATGAAATGAAAGCACCGCACAGATGTTTCAATTGCTGTTTTTCATGTACTTTTTTTCTTATTAGATCGAACTGCATCAACGTGCTGGTGTCGTCCAATCAACTCGTCTTAACTCTTACCAAGCTACTCCTGTTTGGCCTCGGGGAGCATTTCCCCATAGAAAACGTCTACTCTTCCCACAGAATCGGTAAAGAAAGCTGTTTTGAGCGTGTTCTCAATAAGTTTGGAAAGAAATGTACCTACATCGTTGTTGGAGGTTCTAAAGAAGATGAAAGTTCGAGTAAAGCGGTAAGATTTTTGTTTTCTATACCATTTGTATTGATTTGATGTATGAATACGTATATTTAAGTTTTAGTCTTCCTACGGTATAATGCTTGCATTACATAAAGGCTCCGTATACGTCTACACGCGTCTATACATATATACTTCTGTTATTACTATTAGCTGGTAATCTTAATAAACTATATTTCTTGATTCAATGCAACAGAATCTGAATGTCCGACAGTGGCTCACGTACAACGGCGTGATAAAGGCAAAATAAACAGGTGACATTAATAAGGAGTCAAAGCAAATTATCTAAACAGCCACATTCGTAGTGCAGACTAGCTTTCCTTCATATTAATGGGTTAGGTTGGCATCTTTGGGGCCATTAAGCTACGCTACCCGCATATTTCGTTTAATTGTTTTATGACACACCTCTTCTCCCGATAGGATGCCGTGTGTTGCACTATTTTTAGAGGACCTGTGCTTATAGTAATAGTTCTCTCTGTGCCATCAGGTCATAAGATCGAGGAATACATTTAGCATATCCGACAAGTCTTTTCTATTATTTTCGAGAAATATCCTTAGGAAATAATGAGGGGAAATGAGGGAATGCACTACATTTGACAGCTTTTGCTGAAACTTCTTTCAACGCCTTAGAGCTGATGACTGGAATTTAAGGAGAAAAGCACATTTTTTGGAACAAGTGGGTGACAATAAACTTCAGGCTATATTGAGATAAATCTCAGTCCAAGACCTCCTGTAAAGTTTGGAGTTGTCCGCACCACGGTTTAGAATTGCCTGTATACATTAATCCAATTCCTAAAATCAGAAAAGTGGATTCCACATCAACTAAGCCAAAGTTATGCGCTCGCCGCTGACCATATGCGTATCATTGCTGGCATGCCAGAAAACAAAAATGTTTTTAGGACAGGATTTGTTCTTGAGGGTGCAAAATTACACTTTATCCAAAAAACAGAAGGTCAAATTTGGAAGAATCTTTTACATGAACACCACCAGATTAGTAATTAGATGTAAACAAAGCTCTAATTTGTTTTGGCGAAGAGAAACGGTGGAAGCAGAGAGCCACTCCAGATGGCAAACTGAGTTGAGAGATTGACAAATATAAATTTACGTGAACAAAAGATCAAGCACTGTGATACTCCTGCATCAGAAGACTCGACCCCAGTGGCTTTAGTTAAAAAATTGACTTTCAAAAAGAAATCATTGTCGACTCTCTATTTTGCCCCCTGTTTGCAATTATTAATGGTTGAATTTACATAGCTGTTAAGTAGTTCTTCGTTGAGTTTTTCTAAATATACTCAAGTTTATAACTGTTTATGAACTAGATTAAATAAAGCCTCGGCATTGCTGTCAGGTAAAATTTTCCGAAGCAATTTTGACATAGTGACGTCGCGCATAACACACAGTTAGTAACGACAAATAATAGAGCGGCCGTCGTTCTACAGGCAATTGGACATTTTCTTGGCTACTTTCGCAATTAAATTTATCGCAGCTTAGGGGTGTTAGAGTTTTCGCTGTGCAGTTTTTCGTAGTAATTCTGAAACATAAAACGATTCATAAAGGCTGAAAAAGCAAACATGAACTCTATGTATTGCGCTGTTATTTGCAACAAGGAATATACTGGGGCATTTTTCCATGATGCCGTTGTCACAACATCGTGTATTTGGTTATCGCTAAGTGAACTAGCGTATCTCCCGCTGTGACAAGTTACCTGAATTCTCAAATTCACACTTTCGCTCGCTATGATAGTAATACGCTTGATAATGTATAAGCGCCGATTACGAAGGCCATTTTGCGCAAAAGCAGAATATATTACTAGTAAACACTATATTCGATGCATTAAACTAGTCTATACATTGTCGCAATTGTCGAAAATCAATTCAACGGATGCTCCTTTCAATTGTCATACGAACGCTATTTTGTAGTATCAGAAATAACGCAACAGCGGCGGCTTGTGTTCCGGGTCAAACATCTCACGCGTGAAGGCCAAGTGCGCAAAATGCAATCCTCTCCTTTAACAAAAAGTTGTCCGTCCGTATTTTGATCACGATTCAATAGCTGAATCATCTAGTGGTCTAGCTCAGAGAGACGGTTTTTTGTATTTTTAGCTACTTCTTCCGAATTTCAAAGGGGACAAATCCAGCTATTGAATTGCCTTAATAGCTAAACGAATTTGAATATTAAAGTCGCCAGCTCTGTACGGGAGAGAACCTTTTCGGGAATGCATGACACGGATCGGCCAAATTTGGCGACAACTAGTATATCTAAAGTGTTCCTTCATGGAGAAACTTTAAAAAATTGAACTAAATTAAAATTAAATTTTTAAAAACTAAAACTAAGATTCTTTAGAAGCGGTAGGGAAAATGGAAGAAAACCAATGAGAATACACAAAGCATGGTTCGACGCAGCATACACCTATTTTATATTTTTTGCGAAGAATAAGGTATTTAGACTGCCTGGTTACAATATACGTCTCGATATAGGCTTGAAAAAAAAACAAGCGTGAAAAATGATGCTTACAAAGGTAAAAGTTAACAGGCATTAATAACAGGTCCTGTTGCCGAACAAAACGTCTGACTTACAGCTGAGGCCTTTCATTAAGAATTAAATTCCTTAAATTTTTTCCGATGAATTAAATATTTCAAGGGTACCTCGGTGAAGTTGGAAGACATTTGTGGTCTAAAAAAGTTAACTGTAAATATAGCAATGAGATTATCTGAAATTAAAATCCTTCTCATGGTATCATATTATCCGCGAATGCTATCTGCGTTTAAAGCAATTGTAAGGTTTTGCTTCAAATCAGTTCGAGCACGCTTAACAATCATGGGCATCGATTGTTAATCGGAAGGAAATGTAAACGATGGAACTTGAACGTAAAATGTGGGGGACGTACGTTTCAGAACGGGTGAAACAGTAATTGTGTAACAAAAACGTATACGGAAAAGCCAGCGTTTGCCGAGTAATTTATCGAGCTGCTCATCACGTTCCATGCAACTGGACAAATGATTATATCCCAGAAAAGATAAAGAATGCAGATCACAAACAACTACGCTTTATCTCGTGTATGTTTCACTAATACGGCAATATAGGTTAAGATGATAAAGAAATATATACATGCATCTGAATACGAAAAAATGTTTTTTAGCTGTACGTGCTTCAAGGTTTTCGACAACTCTTAGGATACTTGAATTATCTATATAAAATGCATACTAAATTCCTCTCTAGTTTCGCTTGTAAGTTTTATTTCTGTAAATAGAACAGTTCACCAAGGCTTATATGTATTAACTATTCGAAAAAAAGGTATCAAATGCTGTTATTTGCCGATTTTTAGGTCCGATATCGGTCTAGAACAAAAAAATTTTGTCCAGAATAAAGTTCAGTTGGCTTATTACCTGGTATTATATATAGTCATTATCGATAATATAATGAGAATAAATAGGAACATTCAAATAGTAATATTAACAGCAGCTTGCTTTGTGTTTACAGCTGAATCTCCCATTCTGGCGGGTCAGCCAGCATTCGGACTTAGAGGCTCTACACTATGCTCTTGACTTGGGTCACCTGTGAATTAATTGCTATCGAAAGCAGATGACATAACAGATGGGCAGCAAATGGTTTGGCATAGGTAAATACATTTCTGCCTTCCCACTACTTAAGGAAGTCATTGGATGTGCCCATCCAGAAAGCTCATGTGATGTTCTCGCTGGCTCTGCGGACAATAAAGCTCATCATCCTTGTATATGTACACCCAACTGAGGACTAATCTAGCGCTACTTAACAAACATTAGAAATTTAAGGTCGGACGGTTAATAATGACGAAAGCATCATCAGGAATTCGTCATTGTTACTGTGGTAACAATTTAGGACTAAATTGGAAAATAAGAATATCAAGTCATTATATATGTATCAAGTGAACCATATTTTAATTGCTATATTTTCCGTTGCGGCGATGTGTAAATATCAAGCAGTCCAGCGTATTTAAGGGTGTCCTTCGCGAGGACACCAAGACCAACAAGTGAACCAAGGAAATACCAGCACGAATATTTCTTATTTAAGATTAAAACCATAGAACAAAGTTTAACTGGCGTTGTTGTTGACATACTAAAGAAACTCAGGTAAAATGATAGAGAATTACAACTGAATTTTTAATATATTTTGGGAATCGTCATTGATCAGAAATGAAGAATGAATACAGAGCCGTTTTTCTCTTTTTATGGTAATACCAAATACCCGATTTTTGCATTTCATGGCAATATATATTTAATGGTAGCTGCCAGAGCAAGTATTGCGTTTTCATACAGCCAATTATTTCAAGGGTGATTGCTTTTAATAACTATGGTGGTAGTAGTAGTCTAATAGGTTAATTTTTCGGGTGCAATTTTCTCACCTTTTTATTCCCGCGAATTTATTACCTAAGACTACAGGCGACCCGAATAGGAATAATCTATCAGAAATCGTTTTCGTCCGGGATAAGAACGTATTGCCATTAGCCCTTCATTATCCACCATAATATCTGTGTATTGAAATGTCCTATATTCGTTTACGTCGTGTTGGAATCTTTTGAGACATCAATGGACAACCGTATTTCGCAAAATTCACCTTCTGTGACTACTGTTTGCTGATCTGTATATGGGAATTCTATCCTATGTATTTTTTTTTGCTGCCTGTTAATAATATCTGATTAAATGAGAAATACGTAAAATTTATGATAAAAAAGAAAGCTAAACATCTAATAATTTGTATCTGAAAAATTGAGTATTGACAGAAGTCGCGTATTTTTTTCGAAGGTACAAGAAAATGGAGATACAATGTTTACCTAACTTTTCGTCTAATGGTTCTTTAATCAGTGTGTACTTTTCTCACTTTAAATACACACATTTTTTAAATATGTATTAATTTAGTTCAAATTACTAGGTTATATAACGCAAAATTTCGTTTACAACGTTTCGTAGGAGCATCGTTCTGAAATTCACGATCACTAGACCATAGTCAGTAAAGTTTTTCCATACTCATTTTAACCCACTCAATATCTACAGACAAACATGTAATTAATCTCAAAATCATATGAACTTTTAGGCTCGCGTTAGAAAATCCATTAAATTTATAGGAATGAGCTAAAAATAGTTTAAGGAAAGCTGAAAACCACAATTCAGTCTTACTACCTGGGTTTAGTTTAGTTCTAAGCAATCGATGCGCTCAGCTATCGAGCGCTTGTAGTGCCATGCTAATGTAAAAAACAAGAAATAAAATGTAGGTGCCTACGATTCGACGACACAATTGATTAGCAGGTTTAAAAAAGGTTGAATATGTATCGGCTTAGTGCTCCAGTGTTTATCTCGAACCTAAGGAAAGTTTCATCTTCAATATGTCTAATGTTTATTGCATCAAACTTGAATTAGCATGAATTGGTCCAATATGAAAGTCATCGAATTTATTAGAGCAGGGGAGGCAAGTGATGTGTGATGCCAGGTTCTCGAGACTAACTACAACAATTTGAAAGATAACCTTGTACACCCATAAAGAGGATGCCCTCAGAGATTTTCGTCTACCTATTATATGATACGATATTATACAAGCTGTCGCAAATGCAAATACATTCATGCAACACGTTTGCGATTTCAAACACATTAATTACTATATTAAAATAATTTTTGAGACCAAGAATACACTCGTGAACTATTTTACCACTGGAATTAACGAAATTATACGTGCAGACGCACTTACATAAGTGTTACATTAACGATCTGAGCAGGGTAATTGCATAGTGCATTTACTTGAAATCTACGTGTAGGTTATTCCTGACTCGCAAACTTTTAACTTCTGCTCCTTTTTACTTCAGTAGCAAATGAAGGAATGAGTAAGCTAAGTGTACGAAATCTGCTTTACCGTTTGGTGGCAGACGGTTAGGATACCCAGCTTTGATAGCGAACTCCGAGAACATGGACTGAGATTCTGTAGAAATTGTACTATAAGGAATTTTCTTACAAAACTCACGCGTACAGTTGGTAACCGATCATTTATTGTGATAATATGCGTAATGAGTTGAATTAGGAATAGCGTGCGACTACACAAATACCATACTTGCCTTTAAGTTGGTATTGGGAGATTAGATCTGCAGTAGTCACAAACTCGTGCTCGAAACAAAGACCAGCAATTTCATATTGACCAGAAAGAGCTAAATTGCAAGGATATAAAAGTGTGTCAAATAACAGAGATAGTGATCTCCCGATTGTCACGGGTGGCAACCCAGCAGAAAAAAGATCAAGGGCTATCAATTGGCACAGTTCTTATTTATTATACGCAGCAACGGCCAATATGTCATGTCTTGTCGTGTTCACACAAATAACACAAACGGAGTTTAGTGTATTATTCACACAGCTCATAAATCAGGAACTGCAAGATTCTGATGTACGACAGACGCAAGTAGAAACGGTTAACTGGACATAAGCAAGCACCTCCATACACATTTTTCTCGCAATAAAAATGCAAATTTTTTTTCGAATTCCTGCAAGTCTATGTAAATCGATTCGGATAATGATGCGGCTTATTTTTATATTTAAATTCGAATCACATTTTTAAATGTTTTATTATTACCGTATTAAATTGGTTACTCCCGACTGCAATATGTGAAAAGATCCGTTTTGGTCTTTGGTGTATGTTCAACTACATACTAAAACGTATTTGTACATATTACTAAAAAATATTTAGCTATAACAAGTAGAAGCAAATTCCAATACAAGACATCTCAAGGTGTTCCCAAAATTTTTGCCGAGTTTTCACTCCTGATCAGCTTTTTAATCCGTGTATATTTTAATGTTGCATCATAAATGTAAGGAGTAATTTTTTGATTCGTTGGCTCCACAATATTTAATTACTGCACTGAAGGTAAAAAACAATATGCGAATATTTTTAATTTTGCCTTATTTGCTATTTACATCGATGCCATTTTCCTATTACTCAAGTCTCGAGGGTAACTTCAATTGAGACGATGTAATGAGACGATGAGGGTAACTTCAATGAACGATATAAATCGTAACAATAAAGGTGCGCAATGATTCCATAAGAAAGTTGCGAAAACTGTCAAAACCGTCGCCCTACATTTAGGCGTTATTATTTCATCAAGCACCGAGTGAAATAACACGGTATCTTAGATCTCGGTATTTCTCCCTTTGCTTGAGCAGCCTTTATGTTTCGAGTACTACATCCGGCATCGCCGTGTAGCATTCCACCACACGGCCAGCCTCTAGCACAAAACTGTGTGCGAACCTAGACCACCTCTGCTCAAGCCTCATCAAGTTCATCGTGTCAAAGCCAACCTAGCCAGCTTTCTCTGCATAGGTTTTCCTGTAAATAAATAGCGTTTTAGTTGTTTCAGTTATCAACCCTCAGCTAGTACTAAGTCTAGTTGAGGACTGATAATATTGACCTGCGTAATAGTCACAATTGACCCTAACGTAAATAATATTCCGAGAGGTGCTTCTATTACTACTACTGAAGTGCTAAATAGAAACAAATATGAATAGAAATAAATTTGAGTCATATATATTGTAAATGAATATAAATAGAAGGTATATACATATTTAAAATATATCATGATAAATAAAATAATGCTAAGAACTAATTCAAAGAGCTATATTTTCTACAGATAAAGATACCTCGTGATAGACCAGTTACTCATATTCACATACTAATGCATTTTTGGAAACGAAGGATAGACGATTTTTGGGAAACACGTTTTCATAATGTACAGTTCCGTAAACAATTAAAATACCTCTAAAATGTTACAATTTTCTTTCGAAGTCTCGAAGTACGATTGATACATATTGTTCATTCGGTCAGTTTTGATTGTCACCAGAATTCGAGCTGGTTCGAAAAGATTATTACACCATGCATCTAAAAAGCTGTCGACTTTTTTAAGCTTACATATTTATATTTGATTTGTACTTTGACACCCGCTTGATAAATTTGCATTGGATATCGGTATTGTACATGCATGGATTTTTCCAGTGTGGCTGCCATAGACTAACGCTGATTACACATGATTTCTGTAAAGGTTCCCATAAAATGAGAGATTTTCAAAAATCGCATCAACTCTTTGCTCAGCGTCTATCTACAGGATCTACATCACGCTAGTCATGGATTTTCTGGGCATTCCATTTTATTTTAGCTAGTATACCATTTTCATTTATACAGTGTTGCAGGTGTTTGCAATCAGTCTTATTCCCAAAGGCTCAGTAAGATTGGTTGCATGATGTAAATATTGACGGAAAGAACATTGTCAACATCTAGAATAAAAACAAGAAATAATGGGTTAGACCTCAAGGACAATACAGTAAGGCCCTCAGGGCGGTAAATTGATTTTAACTTTTATGTTATAGAACATTAAACATTTTTTTACAAAAAAAAAGTCGATTTCTTGTTGTGGCAAACAGACTTATTATTAGTCATTTAAAGTCAAAGGCTTTCACACATTTTAGCGTATTATATGTTTGCATGTGTAAAGTCTAAAAAGTGACATCTATCTTATAAGTCGGTGCCACTCCAGTGCAAAGCTCCAACAAAGAAATGTTTTATGATCTTGATGGCGCATATCGCGATGGATGCTTTTTTATATCTCACTGCATGACTTGAGGCTGTGGACAATGCAAAAGGTGATTAGCCTGAAATACAAGTGTATGGGGTTTATGGCTACCCTAATACAAGGGTTAGCATAAAATACAAGTGAATGGGACAGAAATAGTCTGCCATCAATTGTCACCATGTCCTAATTTTTTTTGCCTCCTTCTTAGCCAAACTGACGGTCGATACCAGTTTTCCTGCTTCCGTGTACTACGTCGCTCGACATTTTGAACTTTGCCTCTGTGTTTCGAGTTTTATGTTCGGTATCGCCGCTAGGCATTTCATCAGGCAGCTAGCTCCCAGCACGAAACGAAGTGTGTCTATGAATTTGGAACCTAATGGGTCGTAGATAACAATATCATCCTCATGCTAAGTGGCTCCAATAAGGTTCCTCGGCCTCGTCATTCTATGAGGAAGGTATATAAGTAGAACTAAGAGCAAGAGGAGGGATAAATGGCAACCTGTGCAAGATTTGTTGTTTAGGACAAAGAAAGCAGGTCAGCCGCTATGTTATCGATTCTAATGCTGTTGTCCTGTAGCATCTTTCAAAATGTCGAGCATATTCCGTAAGATATCCACGCATACCGAGGTATTTACGACCAGGTCTTTGAGGGCCAAATAGAGTGCGAGCGAAAAAAATAGACGAACACCGCTAACGGAGAGTTTTGTGGCCTATCAAATATTTAGTTAATGTCGGCCAGGAGAGTTATGCATGCTGCTCTGGTTAAATGCTTTTATAAAAAAAAGCCGTGGTATTGCCGAAATAGATTCTATATTCAGTAAGTCAGATGGTAACTTTTTTATTTCCAACTCAAAATATTTTTCTCAGCGGTTCCGCGCCACGTTAATAAGTTGTTGGTTTTCTTTTTGTGAACCGCCAACATCCCAGCTACTCTTACGAGTGCTGTGTGAAGTATGAGCCCACGGTATCAAGCAAGTTTTCGTTCGCGTTTCGATCAGTGCGAGCTCGTTTGTTTTATGCCACGAGTAACGTTACTAACACTGAGCGAAGTTGTCCCGTGATGAATTGCAGACATTTGTTCAGAAAACCAAAAGAGCTATTTAGGACGCATCTCGTCCGACTGGCAACGAATCCCATTATATGCGTATTCTAGTTAAATCGCCACAGCGCAAGGGGTTCGCATTGCAAAAGAGGTACAGCAAATGATGGACGACGACGTGATGAAATGATGACGACTTTTAGGCTCTAAGCTTTGTCTGTCGCCTTCGTAAAAAAAGATCGTCCAATTCTATTGTGTGGAGACTAATACGGACGTCTTTGTTCTGCCACAAATCGACGACTCCCTAGGCGCGGTAGGAACTATATTTCTACCTTAGATCTAGCAAGTGCTTACTGGCAAATTCCTCCAAGGTTAAGTAGAACACATACTTTTGTACCCCAAATAATTTGTACCTAGTCAAGCAGATGCTTTTCAAGCTAGCTAAGGCTCCTGCGATATTCTAGCAGCTAATAAAATAGCTTTAGGAAAAATTACGATAACAAATGGCCTTCGTTTGCTTATATTATATTAGTGTTTTCCAGCAGATTCGGGGTACATTCACAACTCGTCGGCAGATGCTTTCTGTTTTCAACTTTCCAAGTCCATATCTCAGGAAATCGAAGTGTATTTTCATTACGTAAGGCGCTGTCAGTGCACAAAGCATCCATCTCCTACGACCCAGAAAACGCAGCTACTACAGACACCCCGAAGCAACCATTAACCAGCTACGAGGCTTTGTGGTGTAGCGTCACACTACCGTCGGTCTGTGCAGGGTTTTGCTGGAATTACAAAGTTGTTGTATGAAAAATGGACTGCCAGTTTTTTTTGACTACTCCGCATCAAGGTTCGTTTCTGGCTCCGAAAAGGCCTCTTACAGGCGGACTAGTTTTGCAGCATTTCCAAGAGGGTTTATTCTACCGAAACCTACACTAACCTAACTGGCGCTGGGCTGGGTGCAGTTCTTATCCAGTACAGAGTGACTGAAAAGCGTGTGGTGGTGCATTTTAGTAAGCGACTCTTGATCAAGGAACGAAATACCACTAGTCGGAAACCGAATGTCTAGTTATCCTCTAAGCAATCAAGTTTCATTCGCATCTATATGGGCGGAGACTTAGGTGGCCGGTGACACCAGTGTGCCGAAATATCTACAAAATAAAAGACTTCTGTGAGCCTTGAGTTTTAAGAACACAATTCCAAGGTCTGACACCTAAGTGCCATGGTGCGCCGCAACACCGACACCCTGTCACGACTGTTGGAATAACTCGGAGCAAGCCATAAGCTGCGGCGCTGACTTTGGGTCAATTACAACGTACAGACTGATAATTCCATGCTGCGCTTCACTGGTGGGGCAATCTTGACATCCTCAATGAGACATTAAGGCTGCCCTACCATCTGAGGAGAGGCAAATGGCCGTATTGCTATTTTGTAGAGCCAAGCATTACCAAGCCAAGCCGCAAGGTCCCTGACAGATCCTCCTACGATCGACCGAATTGCTCTTTGCTCTCTGCCATCGAGGTCATTTGGACTAAACAAAGACCATACACTGATTTATATCGCATTACTTCCTGAAACTGGGTGTGCGCAAGAGGTCGGGAGTATATTCGCAGTTGCGGAGCTTGCAAACGAACAAAGCTTAGCCATAAGCATCAGCTGCGCAGACGCCCATCAATCTGCCGACACGGTTTTTCCCGAAAATGGATTTCCGTTCTGCTTTCTTGTTTGTATAAACTACTGCACTCATTTCGTTCACCTTTTTCGGCTCGACGAATTACAACGCGGGTCGCGCCGGAGATACTGTCTGCTCTATGGGATCGCCACGGTGCCATAGAGGCCGTTATGACAAGAAACGCCAAGCTACTTCCAGCGTCTGCACGTCAAATCGGATTGGGCACACCCCAATATTCGTCATGTAAAGTTTGTTTTAACGCATCTGCAAACGAACGGGCGAGAAGAGCCCATTCCCGCTCCCCAGTCCTCGCGATGCTTTCAACGATCGCCTTTACGCTGGACGCTGCGAGGCCCTAAACGGAACTCTCTTCGAGTTGCTTCATGGGTTTAAAACTGTATTGCCCAATGGGTTTTAACAGGCAACTTATGTCCGGCTTTTACAAAAGAGACGGATTCTTAAATAACACCTCTTTCGCGGCTGTCGCTTCGCTCAAGGAAATCTGTCCTCCTACGCCGCTTTCACTGTGCGACACGTCCCTAAAACCGCAATCCTGTTTCGAACTTCGAGAAGCAAGCTGGTAGCGATATGTCACCGCCTACTTATGAAATACACGGAAAAGACTGAACATGAAATACAAGTATTTCGTCGCCGGCATATACCCTCCAACCAATCACTACAGTTAGCCAGTTATTGCAATATATTGCTTGAAGGATCTGTCATGAGGCCTTTTTTAGGAAATATGATAGTTTTTGTGCACTTCATAAAAAGCCAATCAAGAGCCCTTTACCTGAGGTTGGTTTTCACATTTAAACCAAAAACATTTGGCATGAAGTTAAAACCAAACCTAGTTCAATATGTTATTTTTTCAAGTGCAATCAAATCTGCTGAGAACATTGACAAGTGTTATGTCATCTATGGCTCATATATGATCACACTATGGCTATTTTATGATGTCTGAGTTACAGGCTCAAGAGTGGATGATGACGTTTCTGCCTTAACTCAACTGAGAAAAAGAAGAGACCTGGTGGGTATATAAAACGAAGGCCCAGTCCGAATATGCACTACATGTGCAAATACTTCCAATAATGAGCCACAAAGGCAGAAGATACTCTAGCACTATCGTTCAGTACACTAATAATCGGATCAGCACACTTAAAATAGATACAAACCTCAAGCTTATTGATAAACTACGTCACGTTTTACATACACTTCGTGATAAGATGTTTGATTTCGATGCTAACATTTGC